TAATTGATTGATTTCTAAACAAATCAATTAACATGTAACATTTAACAATATTTAGTGTAAATTTAAGGGTCATGTTTTGGGGGGTCTTAATCATTTTTCACTTTTCATTTACTAGATTATATCAATCGATAAAATAGTATAAAACAGTAGTTTAACCGATTATATATTGAGATCTAATAGTTCAAAACTGAAAAATTATTTTTTACATTTTTTAAATTTTCTTGTAAAATACTTATTTTACAACGTTTATATAAGAAATTATGTTCAATAAGTAATGTACCAAAATCAATTCCGTATTTGTTTATGCATATACATTGGCCTCTCCAAGACAAAATTCCTAATTCCACCCTTATTTGGTAGGTCTATTTTGGGATTGATTTCGGTGATCCGAACTGTCTACTTTTTAAGGCTTGTAAAGTAAATTATTCATGTAAAAAATTAATATGATCGAACAACAATAACTATATGTTTGAATCAAATTTATATTACAAAAATGAATGACTATTCTTGAAATAATATTTATTGTTCATTTTTTAAAAATAAATATGATTCAAAGATATAGTTATTGATATCCAATCATCTTAATTTTTTGTATAAATATTCTATTCAATGAGTTTTAAAATGTAAACGATTCGGATCACCAAAATCGGTAAAAAAATGGACTTCTCAAGCCTAAACGCTCTCTCAAATTAAAATGACTATTTAAGAAAGCCAAATCTATTTGTTAGGGTTCGTTTGGAATGTGGTTAACTTTTTTATTTTTTGACTTTTGACTATTTTAGCCTAGGGTTAAAAAGTCTCATTTGGGATAAACTTTTTGACTTTTTTGACTTTTGTGAGAGAAAAAAATGAAATGATTATGATTTAGATGTGATATTTTGTTTTATTGAGTTAAAAAGTCTATTTTGTCATTTTATAACTATTTTAGCCAAAAAAATCCCATTATAGTTTATGCTAAACGAAGGCTTAAAATGTTAATGAATATCTTATATGCCCTTTTTTATTTATTGAAATTTGTTCAAATGTTGAAGGGTATAGTAATAATAAAGAAAAATACTATCAACCAAGACTTATCAACTCATAATTTGTCAACAATGTACTTGTATGATAAAAATTAAATTAATAATGGCCCTGTTTGGGAAGAGTGTTTGGGTTAAAGTAGCCACAAAAAATTATATTTTAATTAAATAGGTCAAAATGTCACATCTTATCCATAATCATTTCATTTTTTCTCTTATAAAAGTCAAAAAATTAAAAAGTCTATCTCAAATGAGATTTTTAACCTCAGACTAAAATAATCAAAAAATTAAAAAATTAATCCATACCCCAAACAAACCCAAAATATAAAATTCATGAGCAAAATAAATTTCAACAACTAATTTTTTTCACGATAAATTAATTTGTAAGCCAGGCTTCGTGTTCAACTATGCACTGATTCCCTTCATTTAATGTGAAGTAATTCATGGACGTGATTAACAAAATCCTTATTAATATTTTCTTCGACTAATTACATTAACGGTCTATATAATTTGAAATTTATGTCACTTTAATTTTTAAATTTTTAATTATGGCACATTTGACTATGAATTTTGAATGTTGTTTCAAATAAGAACAATTAAAGATACCATTACTTAATTTTAAGGGCAAAATTGTCAATTTAATAAAATATAAACTAATTTGACAAAAATAAATATCAAAAAAATATTTTTAAATTTTTAAAAATTATTTCTACCTATTAAAGATAAAATTATGTAAAATTGATAAATTTTTTAAACATTTTTTTACCAAATTAATTTGTATTTTGTGTTTGGACGATGATCATGTAATGAATGGTTGTTTTTATTTTCATTAAATTAGTTTTTATTTTTTCAAAAGTCAAGTATGACGACAACTTTGATATCATTATTAAACCAATCTACTAAATCAAAAAATCCAAAATTAAGAACATTTCATATAGTAAATATATCTATTACACATTAAAATACTAACAACCATTTATTATATAATCATCATCCAAATATATAATAAAAATCAATTTAGTAAAATAAATAAATAAATAAATGTCTAAAAGATTTATTAATTTTACATAATTTTATCTTTAGTGGTTAGAAATAATTTTAAAAAATTTAAATATATTTTTGATATTTATTTTTGTCAAATTAGTTTATATTTTATAAAATTAACAATTTTTCCCTTAAAATTAAGCAATAATATCTTCAATTGTTCTTATTTGAAACAAGATTTAAATTTAAAATCAAATATGTCACAGTTAAAAAATTAAAAATTAATATAACACAAGTCTCAAACTATAATAATTGTTAATAAAATGCGCTCTGCCTTATTTATTTGGCTAGGGGCGAAGTCATTCTTTGCCCTTTTGTTTGGGAAGAAGGCTTTTTAGTTTTTAGTTTTTTTTTTTTTGGCTAAAATAGTATTAAAAGACAAAATAAGTTAAAATAGTCAATAAGACAAAATGTCACACATCAAATCCATAATCATTTCACTTTTTCTTACACAAATAACACAAATTTGGAAGAGAGAGAGAGAGAGAGTTACCAAGACAATTCTTCATTCCCTCTTCTTCTAGTACAACTAAAAATGCCTTCTAATTTCTGCTATTTTTGTATATATCATCAACAACACTGAATGTGAATAACACTGAATGGAATTTCAATGTCAGAAGATGAAGATCTTGATGGATTTTAAAAGAAATTTGTGGAGTCGAGGATTAATGGTGTGAAATGAGGGGAAAAAAATTTCAATTTCCTTGTTCGGTCGACCGGTTGGTCGATCGGCCAGTCGTCCCCTTTCTTTTGATGAAAACCGTTGGAGTGACTGATATCAAATCGAGGAACTTGAGTTTTTTTTACTCAGATTTGATGAAAAATTTGGTTAACTATTGGAGTTGCTTTGATACCCTTTTGTTTTCCGCCATCATAGTCTAGAGTGGACTGTGATGAATGAACAGTGCATGTAACTCATGTTTGTGGCCTTCGGATCAGTAGTTCGTTCGGACTAAGATGGGTCTTGGGCGAGCGGATTGATAGTCTTAACGAAGAGGTGGTATTACGAAAATAGTCCGTCGGCTTAGTGAGTTGCCGGATGTCTGCCGAGCCATCCAGCCGAACGTTCGGCCAGTCAACCAGTCAACTGCAATTTTTTATTTTTTATTTTTTTGAATGTTGGGCATTTTTTTTTAACATTAATGTTTAATGATTTTATATTTTTTTTAAAGTAAAAATCATAATTTTATTTGTTTTATTATTTTATATTTATTTTACATAAAAATAATTTAACAATCCACACACTAACAACTATCATCAAAACAAGCACAATTTTACTAATCTCCTCTCTATCAATCCTATCACTAATAATCATCTCACTATTAATCCTTTCACTATCAATTCTCTCAATTTTACCTCTAAAAACAAATAAGACCTTAAGGCGATGGTTAGCGAAACCCTACTTTTAATTTCTTTTGTCTTTTAAATATGTATTTCTCAAATACGAACACAAATAAATATATATTTGAAATCATGTTATTTTATGAAGTCATAAAAGTATGATTTGACAAATTTTTTTTTAAGGAAAGACACAATACTTAATCCATTGTACATTTGATAATAAGTTGTCCAATAAAATATATTGGAATACAAAATAGATCTAAAAGAGATAAAGAGAACCTTCATGCAAAGACGATACAACTCTCTATATAGGGAGAAAAACAAATCTTCAAGAAGAACAAACCTCCACAAAAGGAGGAAATGTATACATAGAAGTATTATTGCAACAAAAAAATTAAAAAAATCAAAGCAATCACCATCAAACAAGCAATATCAATCACATTCACAATCTATCCATCGCTGCAATCTATAGCTATGGTACCTTAATCCTCGTTTCTATATTACAAAATAACATATTGTGAATTTGAGGTGGTCACCTAATGTACGAAAACACGTTTAGCAGCATCAGTTCTCAGTCATGAATTAGATATGAGTGTATATTTGAAAGCCTCCTCAGTGGCAAGTTGATGAGGAGACGGGAGAAGCGACAATTGCGAGTATGATGATGAACAAAAAAGAAAAAAAAAATCGTGGGAGAAGAAACAGATGGGAGACGAAGGCTATAAATGTCACCCTCTTCCCTTAAAAAAAAATTAAAAATAAATAAATAAATCAGTTAGGTTTAGTTCAAAATAACTTATTAAAGAACTTGTTGGTCAAGCTACGATTTTACATTTAAATTCTTAAAATAATTTGAATTTGAAAAAAAAAGTTAAAAATTAGCACAAAGTTGTACCACTTATATGAGCATTTTGTGCCACTTTTATTGTCAGTCCCACCTTTGTTTTGTATCATTTTTTGTAGCATAGTTCTATGTCTGTGTTTTTTTCTGCACATTTATAGGTTTGTTTAGTATAATTTATTAATAGATTTAAAAAAAAAAAAATTATATCAGATTGTAAGATACAACTTTTGCTCACAGTTTATATTACAAAAAAAAAGTTGAAAATTGAGAAATTATGATTGAACTTTTATTTTGTAATTGTCAAATTTGATTTTAGGGTTAAATTGGACCAACTTTGACCATATAGGTCTTAAGCCCTTAGGGCTCTCGATTCTTCTTCACTCTTTTATTCAGTGATTCTTCTTCGATTCTTCTACAGGTCGGTGATTCATCTCAGGATTGTGATTTCGAAGTTCGATTTTGAGCACAACTCCGTGATTTATCTCCGTGGATTTGGGACTCTTCGTCTTCTTCGATCAGAGGTTAGTTTTTCTGTTTATGATTTATCTCTGTTTTGGATCAGTGTTTTGAAAATTTGGTCTCAGTGATTTCATCTCTGTTTCAGTAATTATTTTTCACTGATGTGTTGCTCTGCACTATGAGATCTAATTGTTGGAGTAATGAACATGTCTTATATTTGGTGGATGGTGTTCCTGCCTTATTGATGTTAATTGTCCTTTTTTTGTTTGGTTGTTGTGAAGATGGAATTTTGCGTCTTGAGGTCAACAGGATGCTGAGGGCAGGGGGACACTTTGTTTGGGCAGCACAATCTGTTTATGAGCATGAAGATAACTCGCAAGAACAATGGAAAGGTAAGCATCATGTCCAAACTAACTTGTAAAAAAACTAAAACCTAGAAAAGGAATCATGTCAAAATTACTAAGTACATTGGTCAGGAACTATTGAATTCTACCCTGCTCACGGTGGGTGGAACTTCTTCTTAAATACAGTTGAAAGGTTATTAGTTATTTTTATTATTATTGTAAATATTGTGTAATTCTGAAGTTATATAGACGTGTGTATCTGTGTTTTACTCATTTTTGTGATATTTTCGTTTTTCTAGTTTCTAGCATGATGGTATGACATTGCATCTTCTTCTCTTTCCTTGTATCATATCTCTTCATTGCTGATTCCTGACCTTAATTGTGCACAAAAATGGAGAACCTTTCTTGGTGTATTTGTTGGGAACTTATAAAGAGGGAAGGGTACATTGCTATATGGAGGAAGCCTCTGAACAACAACTGCTATGTTAATCAGCATCCTCAATTACAACCTCCTATATGTGAAGCCAATGACGATCCAGACAATGTTTGGTATGTCCAGCTTTACCCCCATTGAGTTTCAACGTTACATGGAAACTGCCTTTATAATTTGTTTGAGCATTTTTATATATAGACCAACTTTTTTGTATCAAGCATCCATATCAAATTCATATCGATCACATGAATGATCAAATGTACTCATCAGTCTTTGATCCCGAGATGTTGATACACAAAGAAAAGAGATTGATTTTTCTAAGGGCAATGAGATTTCATTTTGGTTAGGGTAGCAGAAAATTGGGGTTTGGTCAAATAGCCAAGTGCCATTACTTTTGAATGTCTTTTGGTGATGTCTCTGACTTGATTTGGACCTGAATATAGCACAGAACTGTTAGAAAGACAAACTTTATTTATTTAATGGCTCTACAAAATCAGTAAACTGGCTATTTGAGAATTTAGCATGATAAATTACGTTTGGAACCTGTTTAATCCCAGAGTTTGCAAGGAACTATATTCTCCAAATTTCTAGTTCAGATAGAATTAATTGGATTTGTGAACAAAATATGCTGACAGCATGCACTTCAGGGAATGACGAATGTATGGTTTGAATTTTTCACACATTTACATATCAAGATATCAGTAAAATTCTGGTTTGGGGTAAATTGACAGAGATTATTTGACAGGGAAAACCAAATTCCACAAAAACAGAAAAACGATCAAGCAATGTGGTTGAGTTCTATGCCTTCATAGATTTAAGGACTTCTTTGGAGTATGTCGATTGATTGAAACAAACTAAAACTGATAGTGTATTACTGAAATTGTCACTTGTTACAAGCTTTCAAACAAGAACAAATAACAAGAATACAAAGATAACCGATTGACTAAAAGCTAATTGATACTCCTAGTTAAAAGAAGCTACTCCTAGATAATTGCTACTCCTAGTTATCACAGGTTTGTGAATGGGTTTGAAGATCCTTTACTTTGAATTCCCACTTTTGTTCCTTTGCACTAGCCACAACTGCTGCAGCCACATGTCCCTCCTTAATTCCTTGATACACCAAGCATGCTCTCTCCACCATTTGGAAAAGATCCTTCACTTGTTGTAACTGCTCTCCACTTCTGTGCCCACATGCTTCTGGCTGCACTCTTGAAACACAACTCTACTTCAAAGGACTTGTCCACCTTGCACGTTCCTTACTTCAGATCACCTATTAATTCATCTGAGCCACGTCAGCACCTCTGTCGACAGGCCAAATTCAATATTTTAGTACCAACACAAGACCTCTCCTTTTTTATCCATCATACCTTACTAACATTGGGAAGAGAGAGTGTATGTGTTTGTTTAAATAATCTGAATGTTCCCTCTTCAGCTAAAAGCCTAAAACATCTTCATTCATTCACTAATAACACATGGAAAGAGAGATCAAATATCTATTTAAAGGCACAATCCCATATGAATTATTTACTTCCCTGTTGCGGGTATTCTTAGAATTGCTCCAAGCTTGTAACAAATTATTCAAACCCTACGTCCAAGTTGTTACACCATATCCTCAAGTCGATAATTTCTTACCCATGAATTTAGTTTATCTTTTAATTAGTGATGAACAAAATCTTTTCAATTTCGACACAAACGTCTAACTACATTGATGCATTCTTACAGGTATGTCAGTCTAAAGGCATGTATCACTCCGTTACCTGAGAATGGTTATGGGGCTAATGTTACTAGCTGGCCCACACGCCTTCATTATCCACCAGACAGGCTACTTACCATAAAAATGGATGCCTACAATTCCCGAAAGGAAATATTCAAAGCAAAGTCAAAATATTGAAACGATCTTGTAAATGGTTATGTTAATGCCTTCAATTGGAAAGACTTACACCTACGAAACGTGATGGACATGAAGGCTGGATATGGAGGGTAACTTCTTTTTCTTCTTCTTTTTCATCTCTTTATATATGTTTACCCTTCTCTAAATCTGGAAGAGTGCTTTTTAATTTTGATTGTTTGAATTCCTATATCATGGGTACTTTGTTCATGGCAGGTTTGCTGCAGCATTACATGATTATGGGATTGATTGCTGGGTTATGAATGTTGTTCCTGTTAGTGGTTTCAATACATTGCCTGTTATTTATGACCGTGGGCTTAATAATCTATCCCATGATTTATAAGTTTTAAATACAAATTTAAAATTATCATAATTGTCTCATAATTTTTGTATTAAGGAGCAGCAAGAGTAACGTTGCGATTATCGATATATCTATATATTTTATAAAAAAATACTTTTAAGGAGAGATATTATGAGAGTTTCAAAACCTCATGCAAAATTATTTTTAAAATCAAAACCTCTATGTGAGATTGTAAAATAAAAGTTAAATGGAAACTAGCCAATGAGGAATTTCTTAATTGTTTAAAATTAAAAAAAATCAAGAAAATTAGTATGAGATATTAATTATAAGGGTTCTCACTAAAAATCTATTTTTGCTTATATAAATGGGAGTATAAGATTCACTTTATGTAAGTGAAACAATTCGCTTTTCTTTTTCTTTTTTTCTTTTTCCAATGTGAGATTGTAAAATAAAAGATAAATAGAAGCTAGCCAATGATAATTTTCTTAATTATTTAAAATTAAAAAAATTTAATAATTTTAGAATGAGGGTTTAGAACTCCTAGAAGAGTTCTTCCTAAAACTCTACTTTCCTTATATAATATACAAATGCGTACAATAATACTATAATTTCAAAAAAATTATCTCAAAATATCAACCTATGATTCAAATTCATTTCATACTTAAGACTCCACACTGCACCAATTCATTCTCTACTACACAAGTATATTATCCAAAAATATTTAACTTTTTTTTTTTGAAATAATAGCATTTTTGATATATATATATATATATTGTAACACCAAAGAAGGAGAATTCTAAGGGGTTAACTGATTATAGGCCTATAAGCCTGGTAGGATCAATCTACAAGATCATAGCAAAGTTGTTGTCTCATAAGTTGAAAACAGTGACGCCATATATAATTAGTGAAATACAAACAGCATTTCTAAGTGGCGGGAACATTTTAGATGGGGTGTTAATTGCTAATGAGGTAGTAGATGGTTGGAATAAGGCAAAAAAAGAAGGGACTAATTATTAAGTTGAATTTTGAGAAGGCATATGATTCCATTAATTGGGACTTCTTATTCTACATGATTTCTCAACTTGGGTTTGGAGATAAATGGACCAGCTGGATCAAGGAATGTGTAACATCTGCTAGGATATCAGTGCTTGTTAATGGATCACAAACTGAAGAATTCAATCTGCAAAGGGGATTAAGGCAAGGAGACCCTTTATCCCCCTTCCTGTTTAATTTAGTTGCTGAAAGACAACATATTTTATTATCCAGAACTCATTCTTTAGGTTTGATCCAAGGAGTAAAGGTTGGCTTAAATGGTGTTGTAGTATCTCACCTTCAGTTTGCTAATGACTCATTATTATTCTGTGAAGCAGAGGTAGAAGAATTGAGGAACTTGAAAAGGGTGCTAAGATGTTTTGAGTTACTATTTGGGTTGAGAATTAACTATCATAAATGTGTTGTGTGTGGGGTGGGGGTTTCAGATGATACCATGGCTGCCTTTGCCTCAATCTTGAATTGCAATGTGAAGTCCTTGCCAATCAGTTACCTTGGGCTACCTCTAGGGAATAATCCAAGAAAGAAAGCTACATGGAAACCTATTTTGGATAAAGTCAGTTATAGGCTGGCTGGTTGGAAGAAAAAACTGCTGCTATCTTTTGCTGGGAGATTAACACTTGTTAAAGCTGTACTATCTTCATTACCAGTGTACTATTTGTCGCTGTTTAGGATACCTGAAGGGGTTGCTAAAGAAGTTGAGAGGCTCCAAGCTACATTTCTGTGGGGTGGTTCAAAACTTAAGAGGAAAATCCACATAGTTAGATGCAGGGAGCTGTGTAAAAGTGTGGACCAAGGAGGGTCAGGCATTAGGAGGGTGAAAGAGGTTAATATCTGTTTATTACTAAAATAGTAATGGAGGTTTGGGTGTGACAATGAAGCTTTGTGGAAGAGGGTTATCTGCAGCAAGTATAAGTTAAAGGTTGAAAGCTGGTTGCTACCCTCTAATCCTAGCAGTAACCAGTCAGCTATTTGGAAAGGAATCATAGCTATTGTTGAGTAGAGAACCAATCTTCAAGAGGTCTTTGTGAACAATTTTCAGTTGAAAGTTAGGGATGGTACAAAAATTACTTTCTGGACTAATAGATGGTGTCAGCAACTATGTTTGAAAGATGAGTTACCAAGCCTATATAGGTTGTCTTTAGAGAAAATTGATACTCTGAGAGATATCTATGATAGGAAAGATGCGTTAGGAGTATGGAACCTATCATTCAAAAGAGTGTTGTATGTGTTGGAGGAGTTGAAGCTACAAAATCTCCTAAATCAGTTAGCAGCAGGCACTACAGTGAGATCTGATAAGGTGGATAGGCCTGTCTAGACAACATCTAATTCAGGTTAGTTCTCTATAGCATCATTGTATAAATTTGTTGTTCATAATCTTGGCCCAACTCTCAAAATTAGTAAGTTAGTGTGGCTGAATTTTATCCCTCCTAAAGTACAAGTATTTGGGTGGTTAGCTTGGAACAAGAGAATCAAAACAGTTGAGTTCTTACAAAGAGTTGGTGTTCTTAATGGGAATGGGTCTGGTCTATATGTGTTTTGTCAGGCTGCCACTGAATCTGTGAACCATGTCTTAATATGCTGGCCTCTTGTTTGGTGTGTATGGATCGATATGTTGAATTGGTGGGGGACTCAAGGGGCATTACCGGGGTCGGTGGATCAGCTGCTGTTATGGTGGGCATGATAAAAGATGAAGAGACTGGAAATGAAGATTTGGAGTGCTATCACATTGGCTGTGCTGTGGTCAATATGGAAACTTAGAAACGAATGCATTTTCAAGGCAACTAATCCAAACTTGTTTGAGTTGTGTGAATTGATCAAGACTAGGATTACTCTGGGGTTGAATCCACACCTGAAGGAGTTTCATTTTACAACCAATGATTTCATTTGTAATTTAAGTCAGATCAGGTTGTGCTTTGGAGGAGCTTTGAGGTATTAAGTTGGGTGGAGCTTTGTTGGTTTAAGTTAGGGAAGCTCTGTTTTGCTATGGATAAAGACTGATGTCCTGCGTCAGATGAACTGTTTAGTACATTGTTTGGCACCACCAGTTGGCTCTATTGATTGTATATCTTTTCTGTTTTTTCTTCTGCTTTGGGTGCTTTTGATTGGTTTCTCATCAATCACGGGTCAAATGCTAGCATATGATTGTGTTTCCTTCCCTGTCACGACCCAAACCCGCTCCTAAGGGTTTAGCATCGTAACTGGCCAGTAATCCGTGATTACCAGAGGCCTGCTTAACAGTAATAGCAATTATACAATAGAAGGGGCCAGTGGAAGCCGGTAAATATTAAAATATAATGTCCAAAAAGCTGTGAGGACTTAAATGCACAAACATCTTATATATATATATATATATAAGCAATTGGTCTTTTTGGGGGCTTAAAATAAATTTTTTTGCTCTCACTGGTCCTTGGTGTGTTCTTTCTTTCTTGACAGGTGTTATTTGGGAGTAGAGCTTCTCAAGTCTGGCAGTGAAGGAAGTGAAACCACCCTCAAAACCCTTTGGCATCACACAGATGCTATTATGTGCTGCTCTTTAAAGGTATGTGCCTTAAAATTTTCAGCTCTCTCTCTCTCTCTCTCTCTGTGACATGGGTCTTGAATTGTCTTCCTATGCTATTATTTTTAATTGTTTATTATTCACAGCTTCAAATTTAAAACGTAATTGGACTTCCAAAAAGCTGAAAGATCAAATGTACTCATCAGTCTTTGATCCCGAGATGTTGATACACAAAGAAAAGAGATTGATTTTTCTAAGGGCAATGAGATTTCATTTTGGTTAGGGTAGCAGAAAATTGGGGTTTGGTCAAATAGCCAAGTGCCATTACTTTTGAATGTCTTTTGGTGATGTCTCTGACTTGATTTGGACCTGAATATAGCACAGAACTGTTAGAAAGACAAACTTTATTTATTTAATGGCTCTACAAAATCAGTAAACTGGCTATTTGAGAATTTAGCATGATAAATTACGTTTGGAACCTGTTTAATCCCAGAGTTTGCAAGGAACTATATTCTTCAAAAACTGTATTTCTAGTTCAGATAGAATTAATTTGCAAGGAGCAATGTGGTTGAGTTCTATGCCTTCATAGATTTAAGGACTTCTTTGGAGTATGTCGATTGATTGAAACAAACTAAAACTGATAGTGTATTACTGAAATTGTCACTTGTTACAAGCTTTCAAACAAGAACAAATAACAAGAATACAAAGATAACCGATTGACTAAAAGCTAATTGATACTCCTAGTTAAAAGAAGCTACTCCTAGATAATTGCTACTCCTAGTTATCACAGGTTTGTGAATGGGTTTGAAGATCCTTTACTTTGAATTCCCACTTTTGTTCCTTTGCACTAGCCACAACTGCTGCAGCCACATGTCCCTCCTTAATTCCTTGATACACCAAGCATGCTCTCTCCACCATTTGGAAAAGATCCTTCACTTGTTGTAACTGCTCTCCACTTCTGTGCCCACATGCTTCTGGCTGCACTCTTGAAACACAACTCTACTTCAAAGGACTTGTCCACCTTGCACGTTCCTTACTTCAGATCACCTATTAATTCATCTGAGCCACGTCAGCACCTCTGTCGACAGGCCAAATTCAATATTTTAGTACCAACACAAGACCTCTCCTTTTTTATCCATCATACCTTACTAACATTGGGAAGAGAGAGTGTATGTGTTTGTTTAAATAATCTGAATGTTCCCTCTTCAGCTAAAAGCCTAAAACATCTTCATTCATTCACTAATAACACATGGAAAGAGAGATCAAATATCTATTTAAAGGAACAATCCCATATGAATTATTTACTTCCCTGTTGCTGGTATTCTTAGAATTGCTCCAAGCTTGTAACAGATTATTCAAACCCTACGTCCAAGTTGTTACACCATATCCTCAAGTTGATAATTTCTTACCCATGAATTTAGTTTATCTTTTAATTAGTGATGAACAAAATCTTTTCAATTTCGACACAAACGTCTAACTACATTGATGCATTCTTACAGGTATGTCAGTCTAAAGGCATGTATCACTCCGTTACCTGAGAATGGTTATGGGGCTAATGTTACTAGCTGGCCCACACGCCTTCATTATCCACCAGACAGGCTACTTACCATAAAAATGGATGCCTACAATTCCCGAAAGGAAATATTCAGAACAGAGTCAAAATATTGAAACGATCTTGTAAATGGTTATGTTAATGCCTTCAATTGGAAAGACTTACACCTACGAAATGTGATGGACATGAAGGCTGGATATTGAGGGTGCCTTCCTTTTTCTTCTTCTTTTTCATCTCTTTATATATGTTTACCCTTCTCTAAATCTGGAAGAGTGCTTTTTAATTTTGATTGTTTGAATTCCTATATCATGGGTACTTTGTTCATGGCAGGTTTGCTGCAGCATTACATGATTATGGGATTGATTGCTGGGTTATGAATGTTGTTCCTGTTAGTGGTTTCAATACATTGCCTGTTATTTATGACCGTGGGCTCGTAGGAGTTATGCATGACAGGTATGGGCAATGCACTTTTTCGACTTCTGGTTGAGAACAAATTCACTTTTCCTAATTCCATGTGGTTGAATAGCTCAGACCTCTTAATTATAATTTTTAAATCCTTCTTTCAAACTAAATCATCATCATTGTATCAACTCACTATAGATCAATGGTACTTATGCCTGAAGTCGCAATGGTGCTTGTGAAAATTTTCACTGATTTCAGTCCACCGAGATTCTACAACTTGAGAAGATCTTTTGAATGTTGGTTTTTAAAGCTTATCATGCTCTGCCTTGTGCTATGGAATATGAAATAGTGGTTCATAACTCTAGATAGTCATTAAATCGTCCAAGAACGGCTTTTTTGTTATCGAACCATTTTCTCTTATCACACAAGGCACTGCAATGTGTGAGATTTTTCATTAATCCTCTTTTGGCTCTTTTAGTAAGATCTTCAAATCTGTCACAGGTGTGAGCCATTTGATACTTATCCAAGAACATATGACCTGTTGAACACAGCGGGACTCTTCTCTATAGAGGAAAAAAGGTACAATTCTTGGTCTTTCTTGTTTGTATCGTGCTTTATTTCATGCATTATACACCTTATATTTTTGGGAAGAACATTACTTTATGTAACACTAACTAAAATTAAAGCAGATGTAATATCTCAACAATCATGCTCGAGATGGATCGAATTTTAAGGCCAGGTGGGCATGTTTATATTCGTGACATTGACATTGTTATTGAAGAACATAAAGATATCGCAGCTGCCATGGGATGGGAGACCTTATTATTTGACACCATTGAGGGACCGCAAGCTACCTATAAGCTTTTGTTTGGTGCGAAGCCTGTTAACATGTTTGCTTTTTTTATTTTGTTTTTCCCTTATTACTTTTAAAGATTATTTTTGTCTGAATAATCTCTATATCTGTCTTCTTCTCTTTTTTTTTTCTTTTAAATTTATTTTGTTAAAATCTTGGAAGTCCTTAAATTAGATGAGAAAATGGAGATGGTGATGAAACAAACTAATTGTAATATGTCTGTACATTATAGTCAGTCCTTAAATTTGGCGATTTCGAAGTTCTCTCTCGATTTCAAAGCTCGGTGATTCAATCTGAGATTCGTCCGGCAAGGAGAGTTCGCACCATCATCTACCAAGGTGAGCACCATCGCTTCAGAAAATCTCAAGCTCTCTCTCTCTCTCTCTCAAGTTCTTCCTTCCCGTCGATTCTTCTCCTAGGGTTTTCAATCAATGTTTTGAAGAATTTTAATCTCTGTTTTTTATTGATCAGTTTGGATTGATCAATCAGTGTTTTACACATCTCATTTATTTTTTCGCAGATCACCAGAACTGATTTTTTAACCAGTGTTTTTTATTTCTCACTCTCTGTTTTTTTATTACCCTATTTTAAACCCTAAATTACCCTGGTTCAAAATGACCTGTTAGATCTGGATACTATTGAACTAACAATATGTCTGTTTTCCAAGAATATTGTATTTTACTATTGAGCTCTTGTTGTCCTGCCCAGATATTTGGCGGTGTGGTCATTGCTTGTCTGCTATTGGGACTTATCTTTTCATTCTTTTGGCGTCCAAAAGCTGTTATCACTCGTTCATAGTATATTAAGGTACCTTTTGCATTGTGCTTTATATATCCATATGAAATTACCTACTTATGCCTTCTGTATCAACGTAAGGTGAGCTCCACCGTCTTCTGTGTTGGTGAGGGTGTGTACACATGCATGCACAAGTGTGTGCGGGTGTGCATGTTTTTGTTGATGTTTTGTTTGACAATTATCTTCCATTTTCGTAGAACATTGACATTGTTCACATGATATTTGTTTTTGCTATTCTGTCTATAGATCTGGATTTCAGTGTCCTTGAGATGAATCCCTTTACCTTGGTGAATGGAGAGCCATACCCATTGGATATGAGGGGAGAGTTGGATGACACTGCTGCCTTTAAGAACTTTAAGAAGTGAGCTCCTCCTCCTCCTCCTCCTCCTTCTTACATTCTCTTTTGATACACAGTAAATTGATCTGTGAAAAGTTCCATTTAAAGTAACCCTATTGTGATACTATCTAATCCTATTTATTTATGAGTTTAGGTGGGGTGACATAGAGTTTCCTCTTCCCTTTGGAAGAGTTCTGAGTCCTACAGAAAGCTGGATTTTAGGATATTGGTAAGGGTCATCTATTATTGGAAAATGGCTTGGATATATGTCAGCAATCTTGATGCCTCATCTGTTCTTTATTTATTTTTTAAAATGTATGATCTGTTAATTTGTTTATTTTCTAATGTTGTCACACTACTCACGTTATTGATTTCCTTGACCTGTGTTGTTAGGTTGAGTCAATAGGAAGGCTGCTGCTGCAACTACCTTTGGTAAATTTAAAGAGGAAATAATCCCTGTGGATACCAAGGTACAACTTTTTTATTGCAGTTTCAGTAAGATTGTGATACCAAATTTCAGCTGCTCATTCACTGTTTCCAAGTTTGTGTATGGTACAAATTTGTGCTCTGATATGTATATACTTTCTTTAAAAAGATTGTTGATCCAAAAACTGGAGATGAGAAACCCGACCAATATATATGTGTGTATGTGTGTGTGTGAATGCAGTCCCATCTAGGTTGATCATTTTGAAGTTTCTAATCATTTGTCTCAATTGAGGTGCAAAACTTCCAGGTGTAAGTTTCTGTAAGTTTTTAATCATTTGTCTCAAATGTGGGTTTTGTTGCTCTGCTCTTTTTTTTTTAAACTTGTAAGGTGGAATTTTATGCTTATGGGTATTTAGAAAATTTAATCTTTATAATGAATTGATTTGAGGAAGGGAATGATTAAGTGGTTTTGTATTTTTCACAGAGTGTTCTGGGAATTATACTTGGAGGTGGAGCTGGGACTCGCCTTTACCCTGTTACAAAGAAGAGAGCAAAACCAGTTGCTTTTACATGTAACATTACAACCTATTGCTTTTATTGTTGCCCTTTGTAATAATCAATGAGAGCATTAATGCTATTGCTTAATATAGAAACATAAACTGCTTTCATTTAACTTTTCTATGTTTTAGTTTCTACTTTCTAGTCTTCCCCGTCATATTAATGGTAATAAAGATAATCCAAATGCCTAATCATGCCCTTTTTCCTTCACCTCTTCTTTTTTCACTTCTCTGTGATTTTATGTTTTTTTTACACGTTTATCTAAACTCTATACTAAACCATTGGAACAGCTTAGCTCAGCTAACTCTAATCCTTAAGGTTTGTTGATGTCTATTGTTTTTATGTTTCTGTTTGGTCAGAGCATTTTCATGTGGAAACTCCCATCTTCTGCACAAATATATTGCACCTACATGGTCTTAGCTATGTTTCTAACCATCTTTTGCCTGGCCATACCGTAACTCTCACTCCTGCATTCTTATTCCTGATTGAAGGCAGTGCGACATGGTAGAGCTCTTGTACGAGTATCATTCAACAGTAATCTGCAGAAGTCGGACTACATTATGGTAACGGCTGATCCTCTTCAAATCTTGGAAATATGTGCCTTTAAAAACAGATATTCCTTTCTTTCATAGGATATTAGAGTGTTGAAATTGTACAAGAAAACTGCAGGAAAATGTTTACTTTTGCATGATTATGTCCTGAAAATAGCTTGCCTCTATAAACTGTAGTAATTCTAGAAATTATTCAAAACACTAGTCCAGTCATTTTTGCTTAAAAACCCTATTCTCTTTGTAGCATTTTTCTTCTCTCACCATACACATGTGCACACATGTATGCACCCATACATGCGTTTGACTTTTTTGATTGTTTGCAGACACCTGCATAGTGGTGCAAGATTAGCACCAAACACTAGATGTCTAGAACTAGGATATTGTTGAGGACAATACAGTTGAATGTGTAAGGAGAGGCTTCTGTTTGTGCTAGATGACACAAGCAGCAAACGATAGAGGTTTGGAATTCTTTAAGTGAATGCTGAAGCCAGATCTAATGGTTGATAGTTATTTGTTGCAATTATAAATTAAAACCTTATAAGAAATTTATTTTTGAATCACTCAGTTCTCTGTGTCTGAGATTGTTTTACTTTTACATGGATAATTTTAGTTTGGACTGCATGTGAGCTTATTTATGATTTTCTCTCTGTTCCAATGAGTTCATAATAATTCTAGATTATGTTTAAATAAGTCCTCAATTTATTATTTTTTTTATTCTGCTTTCAGTGCAAGCCTTTTCTGGTATTTTTTATGTAGTCCTCTTTGCAATTTAAAATCACTGTTAAATTGTGAATTTCTTCAGAATGCAGTTGGTTCTCATTTATACCCTCAGAATCCAGTCCTCCGCCTTGGAAGTCAGCTCAACTTCAGTGTAGAAGGTTGGTGTATGATAAAATTTTACATTAATTTTTAGTTGGTCACAACTAAAACTCACAAATCCATTTCGGAAATCTAGATCTAAAAGACAACATTGAATTAATGTTTAAAAAGCCATACTAATTGTATATGCAGAAAATTACAAATTATATGAAGAAGTTGGAGAAGGTGTCAGCGCCACTGTTCACCGGGCTCTCTGCATTCCTTTGTGTTGACTGGGATTTGGGAATGTATCCTGCTCAAAATTGTCTATTGAATACGAATCCCTATTCTGCAATGTAATGATGTGTAATATGCTTGACTATTCCATTGCATCTGCATGTGCAAGCAAATGACTTAACCTATTTTTTCTTTTTATTTTTTGATTGTGTTTGTTGTTTGATTTTGGTTCAGACACAATCATGTAATGTTTATTTAGTCAATATATTGAAGTAGCTGTAAAATTTTATTCATATTATTGTTATTTTTCAGCTTTATTACAGGTATGTTTTTTAGTTAAATATAACAGATTCAGAACAATTTTTTTTTTAAAAAAAAAGAGCTATAACGGCGTTTTTTCAAAACGCCACTATAGTGCCAACGGACATTTTTTTAAAATAAAAAAAATTATCACGGTGTTTTAAAAACGTCGCTAAATATTGGATGACGTCGTTTTATCATTATTTATCGCATTTAGCCGCTTATACTAATTTTACGACGTTTTTAAAGCGTCATAAACTTATAGCGACGGCCGCGTCCTCGACGTTTGGTGATAAGCGTCACTAAAGGAAATAGCGGCGTTTTTTATACATATAGCGGCGTTTTTAAAACGCCGCTAAAAGTCATTTTTCCAGCAGTGTTTATTGTCAGTCCCACCTTTGTTTTGTATCATTTTTTGTAGCAAAGTTCTATGTCTCTGTTTTTTTCTGCACATTTATAGGTTTGTTTAGTATAATTTATTAATAGATTTAAAAAAAAAAAAAATTATGTCAGATTGTAAGATACAACTTTTGCTTACAGTTTATATTACATAAAAAAGAGTTGAAAATTGAGAAATTATGATTGAACTTTTATTTTGTAATTGTCAAATTTGATTTTAGGGTTAAATTGGACCAACTTTGACCATTGGCCTAACACTAGCCCAACTCCATGCCGGTATTATTTTGGCATTACTTTATGCTGATCTGTATTCTTCTTGTATATGTGAGGACCATTACATGACACACATAGAGATCAAAAAAGGGTGAACTACCACCCCACCACCACCAACCTCATTTGGTCCCCTCTCTTCTCTGTATAAGACATAACATATAGAGACAGACATGTGTGAGGCACTAATTTTGGTCTTATGCAGACAAAAATACAACCATGTTGTGTAGTGTGTTAATGTATTCTTGGTAATGATGCCATAAATGGGTATGGGGCTCAAGAGGATCACTTGTGTATTGCCGTCTATGTTGGGATAATATGAATCCTAAAAATATTGGGTACTAACTATTCGATTGCAGATTGAATTTGAAATAAGGTTTTAATATTTCATACTCGTGACATATTGGTCCTGATTCTTTGTATAAGTAATTGAGGGAGGAACGGATACCTCTGTATTTCTTATA